TAGCTCTGTTTGGATTCAGATAATTCCGTTTTCCAACCATGCAGTATCAAATGCACCTCATAGCCAGACTCAGAAATAACCAGGTGGGTAACATTCCTTTTCAAAGGAACATAATGGGGAAACTGAGCCAGGAGGATCTCATCTTAGACTGAGGCTAAAATTGTCCTCTCAGCTTTTCCTGATGTTGCCTTCCCACCAGTGTCACCTTCTCTGAGTAGCTTGTGGCATTTCTCTCAGATGATAGATTATTGATTATCGATGGATTATTATGATCCATCAGACAACTCAAAATAAAATCCCATGAGGTTTTTTTTACCTCAAACAGCTAATTTCACTAATCACAACTTAAGAAAAACTTTTCCAGGATTTACATATCAAATTTAAATTTGTCCCGGTGTAAAAAAAAATTGTTAGAGATTATTTCTATATACTTGCAAATTCTCAGCAAGATAAAACCCAAACAAGCTTTTTGGCAATTTTACACATTAAAAGAATAACCAAAAATAGCCAAATTATTTTAGTGGTAACAAAAGTATGAAAAGTTGCTGACAAAATGATACAAAAAGTTCACCAATTTGAAGCTCATCATTAACAGTTGAAACTACAACTTTAAAAGAGTGTGCTTACCCAAGTTTGGAGGCTAGCTTCATTACCTTGAGCAGGATGTGCTGAACCTGGTGATGCTTCCAGGCAAAGTTTGCCCTAGGGCCCAAGGCCATTGCCAATGGGGCCCATACTGTAGCTGCTGCCCCTCCTCCCTCCTTCCTTTCCCGGGTGGGGGAGGGTGAAATCAAAGGTGAGGGGGAAAGGGTGAAACTCTCTTCTCCTTTGAGAGGGGTTAACAGTACCCTCTTGACTCAAGGGAAGGGAGTGGGAGAAAGGAGTGACCAGGGTTGTAAGGAGGAGTTTCAAAACTCCTTAATGATCCATCAAAAAACTTCCAGAATCTGCTAAGATATTTTTTAGCTGTTTTAACTTTTCCCTGTAACCTCCATGAAGGAGGATTCAGGGGTGTAGAGGGAAGGGAGTATGTAAGCCTCAGGGAACCAAAAAGCACCTGCAGTTTTCCCAGTTCTGTAGCACTGAGAGAATTGGGCATACACTTCCAAATAGGGTGTCTGATCTTGTCCTGTATGCTGTGGAAGGTGTACCTAGATCCTTGGCCCAGTGGACTGAAAGCCTGAGAGCTTCAGGCAGGATAAGAGACAGCCTCGTAACTGTCTGCCTGAAAAGCACTTCCAAGCCTTCCTAGATGCTTGGAGAGCAACTCCAACTGTAGGGCAAGAAAGAAGGGAGAGAGGTTTACATACCTTCCAGTCTTGGCTGGAGAAGAACTTGGGATTAGGCAGCTTCCCTGTATAGGCCACCAAAATGTTGAGGTTTAGGGGTGCTGGGACCCCAAAATCAGAACACACGGGTCTTGTCCGAAAGAATTCGACCCAAGCCTCCTTTCAGCCAAAGACAAGGTTTATTAGAACATCAGTCATAATGGGCAGACTCTTAAGGAGTCTGAACATTAGTGAGCTATTGGCTAGATTCTAAGAATCTGAGCCTAAACAAGTCTTATATGGTAAAAATTAGAAGAGAAACAGGCAACTGAGAAAAATCTTTGCAACAGTTTTCTCTGATAATAGTCTCATTTTGAGCAGGGGGATGACAGAGAGGAGGGCAGATTGGGGGAGGGGGTAATCAGAAGCAAACACTTCTAAGGAAGGACAGGGTCAAAAGAGAGAATAGAATAAATGGGGGACGGGATAGGATTAAGGGAAATGTACTTAGTTTTTCACAACATGACTACTATGAAAGTGTTTTGCATGACTACACATCTATAACCTGTATTGAGTTGCTTACCTTCTCAGTGAGGGTGGGTGGGGAGGGAGAAAGGGAGAAAATTTGGAACCCAAAGTTTTAAAAACAAATGTTAAAAAAAATTGTTTTCACATGCAACTGGGAAATAAAATATATAGTAAATGAGGTATAGAAATCTATCCTGCCCTACAGGAAAACTGAAGGGGAAGGGGATAAGAGAAGGGGATGAGATAGAAAGGAGGGCAGATTAGGGGAAGGGGTATTCAGAATGCATGCCATCTTGGGGTGGGGGGAGGGACGAGATGAGGACAAAATTTGGAACTCAAAATTTTGTGGAAATGAATGATGAAAACTAAAAATAAATAAATTAATAAGAAATTTAAAAATGTAAAAAAACAAAAAAAAAGTTAAAAAAAAAGACAATAGTCTGATTTTTAAGATTTATAAGGAACTAATTTATGACTAAGAGCCATTCTCCAATAGACAAATGGTCAAAGGCTACAAACAGGCAATTTTCAAAGGAAAAAATCCAATCATATGAAAAAATTATCTAAATCACTAGTAACTAGGGAAATAGAAATTAAAGCAACTTTGAGATTCCACCTCACACTTGTCAAATGGGCAAAAATGAGAAATATTGGAAGGGCCGTGGGAAAACAGGTATGCTAATGCAGTGTTGGTGAAATGGTGAATTGGTTCAGCCATTCTGGAAAGCAATGTGGAACTATGCCAAGAAAGTTACCAAACTGTGAATACTCTTTGACCCAGTTATACCACTACTAGGTCTATCTTCCAAAGAAATTAAAGAATGAGGAAGAGGATCTGTACATACAAAAATACTTATAGTACCTCTGTTTTGTGGTAGCCAAGAATTAGAAATTAGGGCTGTCCTATTAGGGAATAGTGAAACAAATTGTGGCATGTGAATGTAGTGGAACATTACTGTGCCATTAGAAATGAAGAAGTGGACAGTTTCAGAGGAAAAATGTGAAGACATCTATGAACCGATGCAGATCGAAGTGAACAGAACCAGGAGAACAATTTATACAATGACCACAGCATCATAGAGAAAAACAACTTTGAAAGATTTTAGAATTCTGATCAATGCAACGATAAACCATAAGTCCTCAAGACTGAAGATGAAGCATTTGATGAACCTAAAATGGAGAGAAAGAGAGAATGGAGAGACAGAGACACACACACACACAGAGGGAGGGGGAGGGAGAGAGAGAGAGAGAGAGAGAGAGAGAGAGAGAGAGAGAGAGAGAGAGAGAGAGAGAGAGAGAGGAGAGAGATTTTTGGCAGAGCCAATGGGAGATTTTTTTTTTACTGGACTATGTAGATATGTATTGGTTTGTTTGTTTTTTTAAATTGCTCAGTGGAGGGTGGTAGCATCAGGGAGAAGTTAATTTTGAATATTTGTTACTTGAAAACTTTTTTTAAAGAATTACTACAAAAAAAAAGTTATCTAGCTTCTAGAGTAGACTCCCTGTGGGCCATTAGTAACAGTATTGCCTAGTCTTGGAACATAAGTGATTCCCCTAAGAGCCAGTCTCCGAGTCTTTTACTAATGGAGAATCAGTCATTAAGTGTGCTTTGGGCTCCCACCACTCACTCCCTAGCACCTACAGCAGCAGCTGGTAAGTATGTTCATGGTAAATGAGATTCACGTTGCTCTCAGTACTGACAATGGCTGGATTTTTGTTTGTTTAAAAAATTATTAAATACCTACTGTACTCCAAGAAATGTTCTGGAAATTAAAAGACCAAAGAAGAAAGAAAGAAACAGTTAAAGAAACTATTTATGTAAAAAAAGAAACATTTTTCTGAGCTTCAGTTGCTTTTTTTTTTAACTAAATGATTATCATACTTAGTTTTTAAATCAACAATCATTTTAAAACTTAATCTGACCCTCCTACTACCCCTCTCCCAGTACTGAGCAAAGAAAAATACAAACCTGAAGAACAAATACTTCGATAAATACCTATATAGTCCGTGGAGGGGGAGGGAATCCCATATTGGCCCTGACTGAAAATGTATCCTTCTCTTTATATTTTAAGTTCATCACCTATCAGAAGGTGTGGTGTGTTTCATCTTCATTCTTTTGGATTTGTGGTTTATCATTGCATTGATCAGAGTTCTAAAGTCTTTGAAAGTTATTTTTTCTCTACGGGGGTTGCAAAAGTCTTAATGCATTTTTTAGCTTTAAGAGCTTAAAACTTTTGCAACACCCTGTATAATGCTATGATCACATTGTATGAATTTTTCTCCTAATTCTGCTTTCTTCTACTTTCATCAGTAAATAGAAGTCTTTCCAGTAGTTTCTAAAACTACCCCTTTATCATTTCTCATGGCACAGTAACATTCCATTACATCCATATACCACAATTTGTTTAGTTATTCCGTAGTAAGAGGGCAGTCCCTTCCTTTCCAATTTCTGGCTACCGCAAAAAGACTTGCTCCAAATATTTTTGAAAACATGGATCCTTTTCCTCTTTCTTTGACTTCTTTGGGGTATAGGCCTAGTAATGGTATAGGTGGATCAAAGGGTATGCACAGTTTGGCAACTTTCTGGGCATAGTTCCAAGTGGCTTTTTTTTTTTTAAGAGCCTCGGTCTTCTCATCTCACTGAGGCTTGAAGTAGGGAAGGTAAGTAAGGGCTGTGCAGATACCAGTACAGATCATCATTTCTGGCCTGGGTCAGTTCGTCCCTCCTTGGGCAGCTGGGTGCCCTCAACTCTCACCATATGTGTGCCAGATTTAGGGATTTAATGGGGATACCCTATTGGCTTAGCCTACTGAATCCCCATCTCCTGAGTTCAAGGCATCCACCAACCTCAGCCTCCCAAGGTACCAGGGATTATAAACATGAACCACCCTAACTAGCTCCAAATTGTTTTCCAGAATAGTTGAACCAATTCAATTTTGCCAACACTGAACTAACTTACTGGCATTTTTTTCTTTTTAAATTCAGAGCATTTTTTCTCATACATTTCTGCAAGAAGCTTTCCCCATTCCTCCTCAACCTTAGTATTTTCCCTCTGAGAACATCCCTACTTTATTTTCTATACAGCTTGTTTGTACACAGTTATTTGCATATTATTCCTCCCCATTAGGTTGTGACCTCTTTGAGAGTAGGGACTTTTTTTTTTTGCCTTTCTTTTTAACAGCAATGTTTAACACAGTGCCTGGCAAATAATAGGTGCTTAATACATGCTAGTTGACTGACTGGTTGTTGATAGCTTGGATTTTTGCCTTTGAAAACTGAATGACGGGACTTTCAACACATTTCCAATGTACTCAGAGCTCATCAGAGAAAAAGCAATTGAAGAATGTCAAACGTGCTCAGGGAATAATAAGAGGAACCCCTCCCCCACCCCTTTTATCCCAATGTCATTAAAAGAATTTTTTTACGTTCAGAAAAATAATTTATATAAATCAAAACCCACCACCCCTAAACATAGTAATTTTTCCAAGCATTCCTCGGTCCCCTTTTTTTTTTTCCTCTTTTTGCCGCAGTTCTGCACTACGCAGCTGTAAGGTTTGCTGCAGTCTCTCTCTCTGGTCCCTAGGGACAGCATCTCCAAAATAAACAGGATTGGTCTCTAGAGCTGGCTGCATCCGTCCAGCACTCTAGCAGGCTACTCTTGAAGGCTAGGCAAACCTTAGGATGCTAATATCTCTAGAGCAGTCTTAAACAGACATAGCTCTTTTAAATAGATAGGCACCTGTACATCGCCTAATTTGAATCATCTAATTCTTCATTGCCAGGTTCTTGGTGCTCAGAGGATGTGGAACGGGAACGCGAATACGCCGGAGAAGGCCGCCCAGGCCCCAGCCCGGGAGGTGGTCCAGCAGAAGCCGACCCCAGACCCAGCCGTGGAGGTGATGGAGCAGAAGTCGACCACCGCTCCAGGCCGGTATGGGCTCATGCAGAAGGCCGGGCTGCCCCCAACCCCTGTACGGTGCGGGATCCTGCAGAGGGCCGGCCCGGCCCCGGCCCCCGCCCCAGCCCGGGAGGTGATGCTGCAGAAGGCAACCCCGGGCCCCGCCCCTGCCCAGGAGGGGGTCTGGCAGAAAGCAACCCCGGGCCCGGCCCCAACACCAGCCCCGGCCCCGGTCCCGGTCCCAGCTCCGGCTCCAGCCCCAGCCCCAGGGGGGGTCCGTCAGAAGGCAACCCCGAGCCCCGCCCCTGCCCAGGAATGGGTCCGGCCGAAAGCAACCCCGGGCCCCGCCCCAGCCCAGGAGGGGGTCCGGCCGAAAGCAACCCCGGGCCCCGCCCCTGCCCAGGAGGGGGTCCGGCCGAAAGCAACCCCGGGCCCCGCCCCAGCCCAGGAGGGGGTCCGGCCGAAAGCAACCCCGGGCCCCGCCCCTGCCCAGGAGGGGGTCCGGCCGAAAGCAACCGCGGGCCCGACCCCGGCCCCAGCCCAGGAGGGGGTCCGGCCGAAAGCAACCTCGGGCCCGGCCCCGGCCCCAACCCCAGCGCAGGAGTGGGTCCGGCCGAAAGCAGGCCCGGCCCCAGCCCAGGAGTGGGTCCGACAGAAAGCAACCCCGGGCCCGGCCCCGGCCCCGGCCCCGGCCCCAGCCCAGGAAGGGGTCCGGCCGAAAGCAACCCCGGCCCCGGCCCCAGCCCAGGAGGGGATCCGGCCGAAAGCAACCCCGGTCCCGGCCCCGGCCCCAGCCCAGGAGGGGGTCCGGCCGAAAGCAACCTCGGGCCCGGCCCCGGCCCCAGCCCCAGCGCAGGAGTGGGTCCGGCCGAAAGCAGGCCCGGCCCCGGCCCCGGCCCCTGCCCAGGAGGGGGTCCGGCCGAAAGCAACCCCGGGCCCGACCCCGGCCCCAGCCCAGGAGTGGGTCTGGCCGAAAGCAGGCCCGGGCCCGGCCCCTGCCCAGGAGGGGGTCCGGCCGAAAGCAACCCCGGGCTCGGCCCCGGCCCCAGCCCAGGAGTGGGTCCGGCCGAAAGCAACCCCAGGCCCGGCCCCGGCCCCAGCCCCAGCCCAGGAGTGGGTCCGGCCGAAAGCAAACCCGGGCCCGACCCCGGCCCCAGCCCAGGAGTGGGTCCGGCCGAAAGCAGGCCCGGCCCCGGCCCCTGCCCAGGAGGGGGTCCGGCCGAAAGCAACCCCGGGCCCGGCCCCGGCCCCAGCCCCAGCCCGGGAGGGGGTCCGGCCGAAAGCAACCCCGGGCCCGGCCCCGGCCCCAGCCCCAGCCCCAGCCCAGGAGTGGGTCCGGCCGAAAGCAGGCCCGGCCCCGGCCCCTGCCCAGGAGGGGGTCCGGCCGAAAGCAACCCCGGGCCCGGCCCCGGCCCCGGCCCCAGCCCCAGCCCAGGAGTGGGTCCGGCCGAAAGCAGGCCCGGCCCCGGCCCCTGCCCAGGAAGGGGTCCGGCCGAAAGCAACCCCGGGCCCGGCCCCAGCCCAGGAGGGGGTCCGGCCGAAAGCAACCCCGGGCCCGGCCCTAGCCCAGGAGGGGGTCCGGCCGAAAGCAACCCCGGCCCGGCCCCGGCCCCGGCCCCAGCCCAGGAGTGGGTCCGGCCGAAAGCAACCCCGGGCCCCGCCCCTGCCCAGGAGGGGGTCCGGCCGAAAGCAACCCCGGGCCCGGCCCCGGCCCCGGCCCCGGCCCCAGCCCAGGAGTGGGTCCGGCCGAAAGCAACCCCGGGCCCCGCCCCTGCCCAGGAGGGGTCCGGCCGAAAGCAACCCCGGGCCCGGCCCCGGCCCCGGCCCCAGCCCAGGAGTGGGTCCGGCCGAAAGCAACCCCGGGCCCCGCCCCTGCCCAGGAGGGGGTCCGGCCGAAAGCAACCCCGGGCCCGGCCCCAGCCCCAGCCCAGGAGGGTCCGGCCGAAAGCAACCCCGGGCCCCGCCCCTGCCCAGGAGGGGTCCGGCCGAAAGCAATCCCGGCCTGGTCCCGCCCCGGCCCCAGCCCAGGAGGGGTCCGGCCGAAAGCAATCCCGGCCCGGCCCCGGCCCCAGCCCAGGAGGGGGTCCGGCCGAAAGCAACCCCGGCCCCGGCCCCAACCCAGGAGGGGGTCCGGCCGAAAGCAACCCCGGCCCCGGCCCCAGCCCAGGAGGGGGTCCGGCTGAAAGCAACCCCGGGCCCGGCCCGGCCCAGCCCAGGAGGGGTCCGGCCGAAAGCAACCCGGGCCCGCCCCGCCCCAGCCAGGAGGGGGTCCGGCGAAAGCAACCCGGGCCCGCCCAGCCCAGGACTGGGTCCGGCCGAAAGCAACCGCGGGCCCCGCCCCCGCCCCAGTCCAGGAGGGGGTCCGGCCGAAAGCAACCGCGGGCCCCGCCCCCGCCCCAGTCCAGGAGGGGGTCCGGCCGAAAGCAACCGCGGGCCCCGCCCCCGCCCCAGTCCAGGAGGGGGTCCGGCCGAAAGCAACCCCGGGCCCGCCCCGCCCCAGTCCAGGAGGGGTCCGGCCGAAAGCAACCGCGGGCCCGCCCCGCCCAGTCCAGGAGGGGGTCCGGCCGAAAGCAACCCCGGGCCCGGGCCCGGCCCCTGCCCAGGAGGGGTCCGGCCGAAAGCAACCCCGGGCCCGGCCCCTGCCCAGGAGGGGGTCCGGCCGAAAGCAACCGGGCCCGGCCCCAGCCCAGGACTGGGTCCGACCTAAAGCAACCGCGGGCCCCGCCCCAGCCCAGGAGGGGATCAGGCCGAAAGCAACCGCGGGCCCCGCCCCAGTCCAGGAGGGGGTCCGGCCGAAAACAACCTCGGGCCCCGCCCCTGCCCAGGACTGGGTCCGGCAGAAAGCAACCGCGGGCCCCGCCCCAGTCCAGGAGGGGGTCCGGCAGAAAGCAACCCCGGGCCAGGAGGGGGTCCGGCAGAGAGCTACCCCGGGCCCCGCCCTTGCCCAGGAGGGGGTCCGGCAGAAAGCGACCGCGGGCCCAGCCCCAGCCCAGGAAGGGGTCCGGCAGAAAGCGACCCCGGGCCCCGCCCCTGCCCAGGAGGGGGTCCGGCAGAAAGCAACCGCGGGCCCGGCTCCAGCCCAGGAGGGGGTCCGGCAGAAAGCAACCGCGGGCCCGGCTCCAGCCCAGGAGGGGGTCCGGCAGAAAGCAGCCCCGGGCCCCGCCCCGCCCCAGTCCCAGCCCCAGCTCGGGAGGTGGTCCCCCAGAAGCCTAACCTAGCTAAGGTGAAGACCGACCCTGCCCCGGTCCGGGAGGTGGCCCGGAACAAAGCCATCCCGCCCCCGGCCCGGGCCCCAGCCCCAGCCCCGGCTCCGGCCCCGGCTCCGGCCCCGGCCCAGGTCCCGGGCCGAGAGGCGGTGCGCCGGCGGCAGCAGCAGCCAGCCCCGTCCTCAGCTCAGGGGGTGATTCGAGAGGAGCTGATCCCGGGCCCGAACCCAGTCCGGGTGGTTCTGCGGCGGAAGCCAGGCCCGACCCCAGCCCAGGGGGTGGTCTGCTGGCAGAAGAGCGGCCCGACCTGGGTCCTGGAGGTGCTTCGAGAGAAGCCCTCCGCGGCCCCTGCCCCAGCCCCCACTCCTGCTCCGGTCCAGGAGGAGAGGGTCCGGAAGAAGGCCTCTGGGAAGGCAACAGCGAAATCGGCCACCCGGGTCCCAGACCCAGAGGTGTACGAGAAGGCAAAAAAGGAGAAGAGGAAGAAGGACAAGAAGGAGAAGAGGAAGGAGAGGAAGGAGGTAGAGGTGGTAGAGTTGTTGGACGATGACGATGAGGTGGTGGAGGTGAAGGATGATGAGGAGGAGGAGGTGCAGGTGGTGGAGGTGGTGGAGGTGAAGGATGATGATGATGATGTGCAGATAGTGGAGGTGGTGGACAATGAGAAGGTCGAGGTAGTGGATTTGTTGGATGATGATGATGATAACTTTGACCATGAGGTAGCCGGGCCAGCGCCCAGGAAGCATGATGAAAATGCACTGTGGTTCCAGCTTCTTCGGATAGAGAATCTCACAGGGCCTCGCCTGTTTGAGGACTTAGAGGACTGGACCCACACTCGGGTCAGGTCGGTAATTGCCGGCTGGGTGATGGATTATTTATGCATGAATATCTGTCATGCCTTCTGTGACGACCTCTCTGAGGAATTCAACCAGAATATCACGGCTATGGAGGCTGTTTCTTGTGGGGTCCACAACCGATCGCTCCTTCAGCTAAAAACTGTGCACATATGTCAGTTTTTAAAAAGAGTTTCCAAAGGAAAATCCATAGACTTGCGGTTTGATGCTAATATAGTTAATACTCCCTTGGAATCAGCGTTGGCTATGTGGATTAGAATGGGATACCGTAAAGATCCACGTTTTGAAGACATCCATGATTTACTTAGAATTCAGGCGGTAGCAGTTTGCCTGAGAAAAAGGCGCTTCAGAGAGGCAGAGGCAGTCTTTAGGAGAGTATTTGGTGAAAATGACACCAATAGGCCTCTAAAAAAGATCCTGTTTAAGATAGTCTCTAAGAAAGATCCTAACCATGCTTTTTTTAAGTACTTCAGCCATGACTGCCTGATAAAGAAAGTCAAGGCTTTCGTGTACCTTGTGATAAATGAAAAATCATCGAGCTTTCTAATCAAGAAAGCAAGAAAAATAGTGAAAAATACTCCTGCGGAAAATGAAATTGTCAGGGAGATTGAAGAAGAAAATAACCACATTATCATGGACGAATCTGCAGGGAGTCCGAAATTCGTAGTCAGGTCTGATATGAATTTCTTTTCTCTCACACAAATGAAACGCCGGAAATCAAAACAGAAAGTTTTGGATGACACGGGAAGAGAAATGGGCCCTCAAAGAAAAAAGGCCAAGCAAAAATGCAAGAACATTGTCATCGATGATGTGGAAACCATCGAAGATGACTATGAGGATGATAATGAAGCAAGCACCTCTGAAAGACCTCCTTGCAAGAAAAGGAGAACCTGGACCTGGGAAGAAGACATGAAGCTGAGGTCTGGGGTGAAAAAGTATGGAGAGGGCCAATGGAAGAAAATCCTTTCACGTTATGCATTCCACGACCGAACAAACGTGATGTTAAAGGACAGATGGAGAACCATAAAGAAAGCTGAAGTACTTTCTTCAGACAGTGAGGACTGAATTTGTCTGTAAAAGTTCATAAAAGGCAAAGAAAAAGAGAAAAAAAAGCATCTCGATCAATGAGTTTGTTTAAAACTTAACCAGTCGATGTGTTGTATTTTGAAGTTTTAAAAATGTTTCAGTGTGATAGTATATTTTCTCTGGAACAAAGTCATTTGACAGGCTTATTACTATTTTCTTAAGCCTTGTATTAGTGAGAAAAGTCAGGTTTTTTAACCGTGCCACATACTTTCTTACACACACACACACACACACACACACACACACACACACACACACACATACACACACGCATACACAGCCTTGGAGAAGAAAAAAATTATGACCATTATTCGATTTGGTTTATAAGAAATGGTCTGAAAAAATAAGTCTTTTATTAAACCAAATTTGAATGTTCTGAGTCATTGCAGAATATCGTCCTCTTAAACTAGGATACAGTGGCTTGGTTTTATGGCCTTAGTATGTCACTTAACTTTTAAGGCTCTCTGATAAAATCCCAAGTGTACAATGTTACTTCAGCATTATATATCTTCCTATGAGGAAGGTTGAAGATAATAAATGATGCACCTAAAACAAAACTTATACTATTAGTATGTGATACAGCCATGTTTGGCTTTTTTAAATTAATTTTTTTAAACAAAGATCTATCTACTTTCTCTCCTCCATCCCCCAACTGAGCAAAAAATAATAAATAAATAAATAAATCAACAACAACCAAAACAACAAAAAGAAACCCTCCAAGAACAAAATCTTCGTTACAAATATATATGGTCATTCAAGAAATTTCTGCATTTGGCTATGTCCAAAAAAATGAAGTGTAAATCTGCCCTCTGAGTCTGTCACCTCTCTATCAAGAGATGGGTAGCCTGTTTCGTCATGAAGCCTCTTGAATTGTGATTGGTTATTGTGGTCAGAGTTTCTAAGTCTTTCAAAGTTGTCTTTACAATATTGTTGTTATTGTATAAATTGTTCTCCTACTTTGTTCCAATAGACATTTAACTTAAATGTTAGGCTAGACTTCTGTAGTACATGAAGATGTACACCAAGTTCTATGATTTTGATGTTATTTAACAAAATGCCAGCAAAGTGGTTGAATTGTACTGTGAACGCTTGAGACTTGATACCTCAATTAGCAATTTTAATAGCACTCTGATTATTACTGCTTAGCATAAGTGTGTTGTTCACTTCTCCAGGATTTTGTTCTTCACATGTCTTGGTCAAGGAATATATAGAATGACTTCTTAGTAGCTATGAATGTACCAAATTAGCTAGAATGTGTTTCTTCCTTAAATTAGCAAACTAGGAACAAATAACATCTGCCAGTTTCATTTATGATAATTCTAGAGTTGCTTGGCCTCTGTTATATGTTGAAGTTGGTATATAGAATTTAAGAAGTATGTCTGTGTGTCCTTTCCATTTCCTATTAAATTCAGTGTTTAAGGAAGAAAATGTTTCTGTCTCAATGTTCCAAATGTTTTTTTCACATGTTCAATATTTGTATAGCAGCAGCATAGCCAGAGTAATTGGCCTTCCCAAATTAAAAGCCCCTGTCTGGCATCTCTTTTGCCTTAAAGAGGGGAGAGGGAGAATGTGGGAAGAAGAACCATGGGTTTTTCCCTCTTTCTTTAGAAATTTTTTTTTTTAAAGAATCCAATGGGGAAATAAGGTTTACAGTCATCGTTACAGGAATGTGTCTGTTCTGTAGATTAAGGAACGTTCACACAGGCTTGTCTTGCCTTAAAAACTCCTCTACACAAAAACCCAGTGTCCTCTGCTTATAAACCTTCTGCAGCTTACTATTGCTCATTCTGGTATTCACAATGTTCCATATTTCCTAGTTTTATTTCACACTATTCCCCTTCATAGTCAAACTGGCCAGCAAGCTGTTTCCAGATCTCATACTGTACCCTCCCTACTCCCAGCCCCCTTCTCTGAGGGAAGGTATGCTTTGGTGTAAACCCAGCTGCTAATGCTGATTCACATTAGCCCCCATGCTGATAGGGGCTGGACTAGATGGCTGTGGAGGTCTTTTCTGTGATTCTTACAAGATACCATTAGAATCAAATGAGATGACATACATAAAATGATTTTCTCATTTTAAAGTGCTATATAAATGCAAGCTATATTATTATTCTTAGTAGTAGAATTTTATGAGACAAATGTCCTAATACCTATACCAGTGAAGGATAAAGCAAAGAATTATAAACCAATATTATTAATGATTATCAAATAAAATTTTAAAATAAAATCCTGGGAAAAAAACCTACAGGGATTCATTTTAAAACTCACTCACTGTGATCAAGTTAGATTTATAAATACTAAGGATGCAAAGATAGTTCAATATTACAAGAATAATTAATAAGCATGTTAAAAACAAAAACATAACAAAACCACATGATTATATATTTAGATGCAGAAAAATCCTGTGATAAAGTACAGCTCATTTATGCTAACAACCCTATATGATATAGGCACAGAAAGATCTTTTTTTATATGATAAAAAAGTATTTAAACCCCAAAGTTAGCATTACATGCAATGGGGAAATACCCAAAGCTTTTGCAATAAATAGAGTAAAGCAAAAGATACCCCTTTCCCTGCTGTTATTTGACATGGTTTTAGAAATGTCAGTAACTGCAATAAGAGAAGAGAGAAATTAAATACATAAAGATAGGCAAAGAGGATACAGTTATCCCTATTTGCTGATAGTTTACTTAGAAAGTCCTAGGGAATCAGCAAAGAAAAAGATAATTAATTGCTTCATTAAAGTAACAGGTTTGTTTTTTTAAACAAAATACACTCACAAAATCAACAGCATTTCTTTATAACAATAACAAAATTCAGGAGAAAATACTAGAAAGAGAAACTCTATTCAAAATAACTGCAAAATGCATGCAGTATCTAGGAATCAATCTACCAAAGCACATTCAATAACTATAGATCTAGTTACAGAATGATTGTTTAAGAAATAAAGAACAACCTAAATATAGGGACATTCAATGCTTATGGCTAGTTTCAATGTAATAAAAATGACAATACTGATAAAATTAGCTTTACAGCATCAGAGCTATAGCAAATTACCAAAGGGGTACTTCACAAAGGCAGATAAGATAAAAATCATTTGGAGGAACGAAAACTCTAGAATAAGGAAATAATGAGTAAAAAAAAAAAGGAATGAAGGAGGAATTAGC